ACGCTTTTTAAAAGTCGATCGATTTTTATCGATTTTATCGATTCGTTGTTGCAGCCCTAAACTACACAACAGAAAAAAAACAAGCCATTTCAACTTTGGTATTTTGAATCCAACTGATGCTGTGAGAGAAGGATTGTTGATAAAACAATCTACCGTGAAGTGATCTGAACAAGGTTTGCTGTATCGGTTTAGATGCTGCAGATTGCTCGGTTGATTTTTGTCTAATCTAGCTACTTTCTGGATCGAAATTTGACACAAGAGTGGTTGTTTTGGATGATTAAACATTCTTCTTCCCGGTCCAAAGCCATTCCTACAATTGGCAGCAGTACTATAGACTAGGGGTGTGCATTGGCACTGCCCTCACGATTCGATTCGATTACGATTCACCAGGTAACGATTCGATTCAATTAGATTCTACGATGCATTGCGATGCATCAAAATCCCATTGACTTTGTAAAATCCGAAATGTGCCCAGATATCCGCTTTCAAAGCTTTTGGTGCGTTTTTAATTAGGCCTACCCGTCTATCGCGGTTATCTCCCTCCGCCTCAGCCATCTTGATTGTTGTTGGTATCCCCCCGGAAGTAATTGAAACTTCACAACTTGTCAATTTGAGGCCAGAAAATAAACAGTGACATAATCGATTATGGCACGTTGCCGCATCGATGCTGAATCGTGCATGCCCCGCATTGCAATGCATCGCTGAATCGATTGTTGACACCCCTACTGTAGACCATTGTAATTATGTTTTTACTGTCCTTTCAGAGTGCTTAAAAATGCATGAAGAGGTGTTTCTATACAACCGCACAAAGATTTTTGACTACACTGATGTCACAGCTGTGTTTGGTCACGTGACTGCTCTAGAGGCACACAGCATACTGTAAAATTCTCTTAATTTTTATTATTTGGAGCATTGGTAGCGTGATTTAGACCAGCCACATTGAGAAAATAAAGGATAATCTACCATCACACACCATAAAACTGCTCTAGATGCACTCCTTTCTTTTTGAACTTTAAAATCATAAATTTGACAACTTTTCCAGCTTTTAAAAGTATCACTAAACCCCTTACAATTACAATGTGTCAGAACTAAATAATAGTTTGTGACATGCTGTGTTTTCACAGGGAACTTCGTCTGGGGGAGTAAAGAGGCCAAAGGTGGAGAGCTGGGAGAAGAGTGTCGGGACCCTGGGAGGCCGAGGGGCCCTGAGCTCCCTGGTGGTGCGAAAGAAACCAACAGAAATGGATAAAAAACCCAACAGAGAGGAGGCATCTACTGCGTCACAATCAGGTACCGCAGTCACATTTCAGACGCCCAATCAGCCTTATTTTTGTCGAGCATTTCTTCACTTTAAGGCAATTTGAGGACTTCTCTTTTCTTTGTTTTGCAGATTCAATGGCATCCACGGGCGACTCAGCAGATCCTTCTAAATGCAGCGTTTCTCAGAATGGATCATCATCTCTCAGCCTACTGGGGGCGTATTCAGACAGCGACAGCAATGACAGCGACTGAAAGGAAAAAAAGGGGGGAAAACAACACATTGAGGTTGATCTTTTTCTCATCAGAAACTAAATGACAGTTCTAGTAATCAGTTTACAAGGAATTACCTGGAAAAGTTATAATGTAATCTGCCCTGGGCCTGAGATGTATAAGAATTTTTCTGATTCAAAACCAAAATTCATTTGTTATTATTTGACATTTTAAACAAAGTGTGTGAACTATTTCATTAAAATATTTCATTAAAACTCAAAAGGACTATAAACTATTCTATTTTTTGTTTATAAGCCATGTTTTTCCTCTAACTATATCAGATGAATATGTAATTGTTCCTGTTGTTTCCGTTTTTTAAGTTTTTGGTGATGTAAGGTAAAATGTGCCAAATTCTAAATTAAATTTATTAAATCTGCTTATGATTGGACCAACCTTACCTAGGGAAATGATGCAATGTGTATGGCAGCCATCTGTGTCGGCAGACCCTTGGCCATGATATACACATCTCATAGGATCTTCACAGGATGGGCCGAAATAGAAATGATAAACACAGACATGTATGTATGTAGAGGTGTTTTATTTTTTTTCGTTGTACAGTTGCACATTTCAAGTTTTCAAGTTCATGTTTACTGACAGATATTTAATGAAGATAAACTGTACCTTCATCAATAGTGGATTAGAGATATACAGTTAAGTTCAAAAGTGGGCCAATTCAGTTTGGTAATGCAGAAAATAACAATCTGATTGTACAATTTATTTATGACGCTTTATAATAAGTGCTATAAAATATTTGCTCGCATGCTTGCATTAATTATCTGTGCCCATGCTTTGTTTAAATATATAGTTGCCCCCAATTTTATTTATTTATTTATTTTTAGGTGCCCTATTGTGCCCCAGTGTATTGGGTCAGCTGATGGCAGAATGATACCTTCAGTTCATTGGTTTTCTGGTTAGTCTTACTTTATTCTTCAATTATCACTTTTTCAATAATAATCAAGTCAGGTGAGTGAGACAGGACTCTTACTTTGTTCAAGGTGACTTTTGAAACTAAATCAGCAGATTCATCACAGACATGTACTGTATCATAGTGTAGTACAAACACATGATTGATATCATCTTTTCTTAGCTTTCCACAGAGCATCACCATGCCACCACCATGCTTCACTTTTTCTTATGGCGTTGCATAGACTTTGAGGTTGACATTTCTTCAGACTTTGGCTTTCTTTCTGAAAGCCGCCTATTTTTCCTTTGTTGTTATAAACTCACCGGCCACTTTATTAGGTACACCTGTCCAACTGCTCGTTAACGCTTAA